GTATCTCTATGTTTCCACTATCCTGTCTCTGAAGAGTATGCTGCAAACACAGTGTCCACAAAGGCAAAGCCCAGTGGAAAAGTATGTACGCTTAAGTGACGGAGGTGTCCATGGTTCTGAGGCTGAGGGCAGCTGAGCTGTGAAGGGATATGTTTGCTGGCTATAGATACATTTTGGGAATAAAATCCAGGAAGCGGTTGGTGGGGGAGGTTTAAACTATAGGACAATGTTGGCAAAGGAACACATAGGTATGAATTGTAAACTGGAGTTTATAGTTTAGGCTGGAGAATGATGTTGCCACGAGGGGGATGTTACAATGTCTCCCCAAGAGGAGATTCTTGAATTGCTTGTCAAGAGTAGGCATTCAGGCAAAAAGCCTAAAGAGTTTAGTATGGAGTTTGAATTATAATACATGGCTGGCTACAATAACAAGGGACTGGACATGACCAGAAGGCTCCTCTTTAAGTCTCTTTTCTGTGGAGGAATAACTGGCAGACAGTCTTTGCCCTGGAGATGTGTCAGAAGAGGCCAAGGAAAGAGTCAGTGCTGCAGTGTACTAAGAACCTTAGCATTTGTTCAGTTTGTGCTATTTCAAATGCATTTGTGGGGTCTCAAAGTGCAAGCAAACATACACTCAAGCCATTTGTTACATTGCAAGTGCAAGTGAAAAATTGCAAAGTTGCCCCATTTCAGTTGAAGTTTACCATGGGAGAGTGATATCTTTGGCAAAATCAAACATGTGCTTACTCCACTGAGATATCACTGTCCTCTAGCAACCCAGAATACACTATTCCTCACCTCCATCCCACTCCAAGGCCTGTCTCTCCCTTGACCCTTCCAGCCTTACAATCTATGAATCTATGAAAGTGAGCCAGGGTAAATCCCTACAGGAAGGCATGCTGATATAGCTGTTCAGCATCCCTCTAGTGGAGTGCAAGCGGTGCATACTCAGGTTGGTCGGGACCATGAACGTGTGCCTGTTCCTGTTATGTCCCAACTTTGCTACAGCACAACATTCCACAAATTTGGAATGGCACAAGCTGAACATGTACCAAGCCCGTAAGATCTACAGAGCTGAAAAACCACACAGACCCAGAATTTGAGGCCCACACACAGAAACCTGGTGAGTGTCCACTACACTCAATAAATCTCTTCCATTTAAATGGTTGTCTTTATATTGCAAGTGCCAGTACACAATTTTCTTGTTCAGTTGTGTGTATCCAAAAAAAAAATGGAATAATCCCATTTGAAAATATTGTGAAAAGATTCTAGAGATATTTAGTTTGCCTTAGCTCAGGAACATCTTGTTTGAAGCTAGTGAAATTTCTCATCTGAAAATGTTCACTTCTCCATTCCCTTGATCAAAAGAAATTTCAGTTTTTCAAAACCAAAGTAAGCATGATTTTTTTTAAATGTGCATAGTTTCCTGATCACCTCCAGTTTTGACCTTTTTGGTGGCTGTGTTTGGCTAGCCTGTGAGCTGGTTTAGCAAGAGTTAGCAAAACCTACCTGTGTGGTCTTGGACATGTCACTTCCTTTGTGCCTCAGTTTTCTGAACAAGAATGAAACGCACCACGAAACACAAAGAGATCCTATTTTCAGCAGTGCAAGTAGCGAAGCTTATGGTTAAATATAGTCTGATACTTCTTGATTATTAGACATTCTTTTCAGTTGCTTATAAATTTGCCCAACTTTAAGCATTTTGGCTGAAATTCTCCCTCCTTGGGATTTGCCTAAGATTTACCTTTACCAGGAAAGTTTCAGCAAATATAGCTCAGGCATGTCTCACAGATGAGGTTAAGGGAAAATATACTGTTCTCCCCATATAATATTCTGATACTGTGTTGAGAAGCTCCTATGCTTTCAACCAGAGTTTTGAAATATAGCCTAGCAAGGGGATCTACGTTTTATCATTCTGAAAACCCTCAGATCAGATGCACAGGTGTAGAAACATGCTACTGTAAACGTTTCTTTTCCTTTAGAACCTGGACTGAGTTGCTTGTTGTGTGTGTATGTGTATTCCCTACGGAACAAAAAATAGGCACTTAATTTTATTTTTCCCAAGGCCAAATCAGTTCAAAATTCAGCTGAGCAAAGCCCAATAGTCTAGTTCCAAAATTCAACTGAGCAGAGCTTAATTGTCAAGTTTGTGTGCCTTGATCACTGGTCAAGTATGCTCCCTCCCAGACCCATAGGTCTGGGGCTTTGGGTACTCCCCAAATCCAGGCAGGAATCCTCTGTGTAAGCCCAGGCCTGGAGGCCCTGGGGTTCAGCTGTCCCCTTTCTCCCTTGATCTTAGCCAAACGGCTGCATTTGCTGCATGTAAGTGAGCAGAACTATTCATCTTGATGCTACATTCCTGACATTGCTTTTACACCATCACAAATAAAGGAACTTCCTGATAATTTACAGTGATAGAAGTGAGAAAGAAATTAAGCTGTTACATGCACCCCTGTGCACACACACAGATCCATTGCAAGGCCCAGAACTCACACTTTCCTAGATCTCTCTTTCCCACACTGTGATTGTATGGATTTGATGAAAAGGTAACTGTTGCAAATGAAGATCCCTAAAGAGAACCCTGATCTAAGCAGCTGTCCGGCAGGGATCAGGAGGCTGAAGTCGGTTCCTAGGTTGGGCAGCACCCTGCTCAGACTTATTCAGAAGTGTCCTCCAGATGCGTGGTTTGGGGTGACCTGAAAAGGATTTTGCCCCATAATCCCAGTTCCTTATTCAGGGCTATGTACTTGATACCTGATATCATTTTACATTTTTCATAGGATCATAGAATCAGAAAATGAGGGTTGGCAGGGACCTCAGGAGGTCTAGTCCAACCCCCTGCTCAAAGCAGGACCATCCCCAACTAGATCATTCCAGCCAGGGCTTTGTTGAGTCTGGCCTTAAAACCCTCTAGATAACCCGTTCTAGTGCTTCACCACCCTCCTAGTGAGAAAGTTTTCCAACTTAAACCTCCCTTGAGACCATTGCTCCTTGTGCTGTCATCTGCCACCGCTGAGAACAGTCTCACTCCATACTCTTTGGAACCACCTTCAGGTAGTTGAAGGCTGTTATTAAATCCCCTCCTGTCTTCTCTTCTCCAGACTAAATAAGCCCAGTTCCCTCAGTCTCTCCCTCAGCCACTCCTCCCAAGTCATATGCTGCAGCCCCCTAACCACTTTCATTGCCCTCCACTGGACTCTTTCCAACTTGTCCACATCCTTTCTATAGTATATTTTTATTAGGAAATATACATTTTTTAATGCAATCCTAACTCTTTAGCATGTCTAATTCATTACTCTCAACCTTCGAGTGTGTAAAGATTAGCTTTGAGAAAGGAGCAGGTAATAGCAGCTCCCACATGGTCTAGCAGTTAGGATTCCTGGTTTGTGACCTGGGTTTGACTCCCAGCATGGGAATGCTCTGACTTTGGGGCTGGACCTGATGATCTGCAGCATCCCTTTCAGCCTCTCTGAATAAGGAAGTGGAAATAAGGAATCAACTGCAGCCTCATGCAGAGATTATTGCCAGATGGGGCTTTCCTTTCACCTCTCTGCCTCAGGTTTGCTGCTTTCCACCCCCTGGAGGACAAGGGGGAACAAGCAGGAAACATTGCAAAGGACAAGGCAAAGGTCACTCTGAAACCCCACGTTGGTCTTCGGACTAGTATGGGAATGGCTGTGCCTGCAGGCTCCTCCAGCCTGAAGGGGGAAGCAGGGGGGGCTTCAATCTGGGCTGCACAACCTGCACCTGGACTCATGCTCGCCAGCCCTGCACACAGCTGGCAAGGGAGGGGCCAGGTCTTAAATATGAAATTATCATATTTGTAAGCTCAAAGTTATCATATTTGCTGAAAAACTATTGTACACTGCAAAATATGCAAATAACTCATCTTCTTACTGACTTTATATTGCTCCCTATAGGTTGCTAGTGAGTGAGTGAGAACTGGATCATCAAAGTGGAAACTCTTCTTTCAGGCAAGTAACGATAAGAAAGTGACAAAATAAGCTCAAAAGTCAGCTGAGACTCCCTGACAATGACTTGGGTTTTGCACATGCTGCATCAATGAGCTGCCTCAAAAATTATCGTACATTTTGTCAGGTATCCAGGTTGTAGCCATATTAGTCTAGAGACAAAAGGAATGAAAACTCATGGCAGAGGTTATATTTTGTATTAAGCCAACTAGATTTTGGCAACAGAACATTATTTGCATGCTTTGGGGCACAAACGCCCTTCTTCAGGCAAAGGAGAAAAGATTGTAAAAGTTGCCCTAGGTAGAAATGAAAGTTCATATTTCCTAGAAGGGTTGAAGGTGTGGTAACATTTCTTGGGTTGTTTGGAGCAGGGATGTATTTGGTCTGAGACAAAAAGAAAAACTCTAGAGCTCTTGGTTCAGAGTTGGTCTTTTATTAGACCAACTAAGAAATCACCAAAAAAAATCATCTTTTTTTCTGCAAGCTTTCAGGCACACGCACTCTTCCTCCAGCTCAGGGAAAATGAATGATGGTCAACAGTCCCCACAGGTAGAAAATAAACTTCATTTTTGCACACATTTTATAGATAGATATAAATATATAGATCTCTCTCTCTCTCTTTCTCTCGATATAGATATATAGAGATGGAGAGAGAGAGAGATCTGTCTATATAGTTGCGATTTCTTAGTCTAATAAAGGGATCACGTCTGAACCCAGCGTGCTAGCGTTTTGCACGTCTCCAGGACGAGGACGGATGATCACCCCACACCCAGCAACATTGGGGAGCGGCAGGTGGCACCGCCCCCCTCCCCGCCTGCAG